ATCCAGACTCTAGGTATCTGGACTCTAGATATCCGACCAAAAATCAGGATATCCGCGGATATCCGGATCCGGATTCGGATCCGAAACTAATATTAAAAATAATTAAAATAATTAATAAATAAATAAAAATATATTTTTAAAAATTATTAGTTAATATTTTAAACGGTATTTTTTATTATAAATATAATTTATAAAAAGAAATAAAATCAATTTATATATATATTTATTAATATAAAATTAGTTCAATAGATATATAATGTGGGTGATTGGTTGGGTTGTAGTTGTAAGTTAATTGCTATAAAATTTGGACTGTACACGTTTTGGCTGTAGCTGTAGAATTTGGGCTATAAACATTTTTTGTGTAGTTGGAATTTGGGGTGTAGATATATTTGTTGTAGCTGTAGAATTTTGCTATAACTTTCTAAAGACTAATGAATGATTGGTACATATTAGATATATAGAATAATTATCTATTAGTTGACAAAAAAATTATAGCTGTTTATCATATAAATTTTTCAAAATAAAATAAATTATATTTGTAGAGTAATATAGATGGAAAAAATATTTAAAAATGATACATCTATATATACAATATTATTTTATATGAATAGTAGTGTGTATTATTTCTGTATATACAATAGGTATATATATATATATATATATATAATATTACAACAGAGTAATATATATTAAGTGACCCAATAACGTTAAATATATTAACTCAGCAACGAACCAATTTCAATTAATCAATACAAAGAACTTGGTTTTAACCCTCGTATTGTGTATATATATGTATATAACAATAATAATCATTCTTACGTATATGTGTAAGAAAATGAAGGAAACAAAAAAAAAGAAATAATTTTTTATTACAGCCATCGTTTTTTTCTACAGCTCCAAAAATGATGATTTAGAAAATATGGGTTTTACATCAACTTTTTTTTTTGGATGTAGCTTTAAAAAATAAAGATACAGCATGATTGGTAAACAATGTTTTAGGATGTAACTTTAAGAAGAAAAAATTAAAGCATGATTGGTAGAGAATTAAAGGTTTAAGTAAAAAAATGGCTGTAAAAACTACTTACAGCCTAACCAATTATGCACAATATATATGTTTTTAATATATTTAATGCGTCCGGATCCGGATCCGGATATCCGTGAAACAACCCAACCCGTTTTTTTTTATATATAAATTAGCACCGAATTAGCATCCCCATAAATG